CTAGACTCATATATTTCACCATGTACTGAACTAAAATCGTAGCTGGCTGGATGTGGGGGCTCATAACTGAAATCCTAGCACTCAGGAGGCTGAGGAAGAAGGAACGCCTCAAGTTCAAGGCCAGCCTGGGCTAGCTACATAGTGACTTCAAGGCCAGCCTAAACCACATGGCAAGATCCTGTCTCAAAAAATCAAAAATAAATATAGTAATTAACTAAATAAAATCAAAATAGGTCAGTGTGGTATTTATACATAATGGAGTACTACTTTTCCATAAAGAATGATGTGAGTCACTTATTAGAAAATTGATGCACCTTGAGAGCATAATGTTAAGTGAAATAAATCAAACACACAAGCTTAAATATTGGTTTCTCTCACAGTATACGAATGAGAAACCCAAAATACAAACAAAGAACAAAATAAAAACAGATAGGTGTTAGGTATTCCAAAGCCCCGACTGAATAAGCTCCCTCCCCCTTCTCCCTGTCCTCCTCCCTAAGGGCGAACAGGGACTTTCTACCTCCTGGAGCTTGTCACTTCATCCCACCAAATGTTCCCTTAAATTAGGGACCTGCTGGAGCTTGTCACTCTGTCCCACCAAATGTCCCCCGCAAGTCAGGGACTTCCTGGAGCTTGTCACCTCCTGGAGCCTGCTTCTCCATCCCCCAGCCAGAATTTGTTGCTATATGCCCTAACCGCAATCACCCACCTCCATCAAGGGACTACGTGCTGTCCCACAGGCAAACACCCCATATAAGCTTCCAGCTCAGCTCATGCAACAGCTGTTCTCCATCGTGTGAGTCAGTCCTGGCAGGCTGCAGACTGCTGCCCCAATACAGTCTGCTTGAACATATGTGTGCCCCTTCCTTTCGGTGACCCTTTCAATAGGAGGTAGGGAGACAGATCTTTTTCAAGTGGGAAGGAGATCAAAAGATGGAGAGAAAGGGCCGGGGATTTTCGGTTATTTTTTTTTTTGGTACCAGGGATCGAACTCAGATCCTTGTGCTTCCGCCGCCTGCCTTGCAAGTGAAAGGTCCCGAGTTCGATCCCAGGTACCAAAAAGAAAAAACAAATTTTTGGGGCCAGGGATTTAGCTCAGTGGTTCCGGTGCCTGCCTCACAAGCGCAAGGTCCCAAGTTCAATCCCCAGTACCAAAAAAACAAAAACAAAAGTAAAAGATGGAGGGAGAAGGAAAGGGAAGGGAATGAAAAAAGAATCAAGATGTGGTATGCACATGAACCAACTACCTACAAGGCATGTAATCATTATATACTATAAACATGTGCTAATAAAAAATAAAAACCTGAAAAAGATTTTTTTAAGGCTGAGGCAGCAAGATCACCAAACAAGGTCAAGGACAGCCTGGGCTACACAGTGAGACCCAGTTTCAGAACACAAAAAATATAGCCAGCGATTTAGCTCAGTGGTTCTGCCACCTGCCCTGCAAGCGCAAGCACCCAAGTTCGATCCCTGGTACCAAAAAAAGAAAAAAAAACTGGGAATGAGAACACAAAAAATATCTTAAAAGGATTTTTTTAAATAAAAGATTACACAAGATATTTTACACAAAGTGAAAGCTCTTCAATTAAGTGACCAAACAATTGTCACAGACCCTTCTAAATCAATTGATTCAAAACTGAAAAACCTGCAAGATACTCTTCTTTAGCTTTACACGAGTGGTGCAATATAGGAGACATTTACAAACTTAGATGCATTTTATGTCAAAGGTCATCTAAATCTGCAAAAATGTTACAAATTTTAGCCTCAAACAATTAAACATGTGACATAGTTTTTTGGGAGGAGGGCAGTGGTTTTTTAAGACACAGTCTATGTAGCCCAGGCTGGCCTCCAACTCAAAGTAATCCTCCTGCCTCAGCCTCCTTAATGCTGGCTGGGATTACAGGTGTGCACCACCAGTCAGTTTAGATGTTTTTAATACTCTGACTGAACTTCCAACTAAATATGAAAAAATTTTGTTTCTATCATGACAGATGTCATTATTCTAATAGGGTCAAAAATCCGGATTTAATGAAACTTTTTAAACAAAAAGTTGTGTTTCTCTTTTGTTGTTTCTTCCCACTGTATGACACACATTGAAAATAGCTGTGCTATTTCTGAAGCTGAATTCATGAATAGTATGGATAAAGTGGTTAAAATTTTTCAGTAAGTATGTACAAACGTTATGAATCACCAGTTTACAGAACTGTTGAAAAGAAGTAGAAGCTGGTGAATTGAGCTGGTGGCTCACACCTGCCGTAAGCCCAGCACTTGGGAGGCTGAGGGAGAGAATCACCTCGAGTTCAAGGCCAGCACGGGCTACACAGTGAGTTCGGAGCAACCTTGCAACACAAAGCGAGACTCTATCTCAAAAAAAAAAAAAAAAAAGATGAACTTCTACGAATATTAGTTTTTTGCCATTGCTTCCTACTTTACTTGTGGAAGTGTTTACATAGGGTTACTGTACTGTTAATTCCAGCTCACAATTTTCTTGGAACAAAAGGAATGCTTGTCAATCAGTTAACAGACAAAAATGACAGCGTAATTTATGTTTTCTGATAGGATACTTTGAGATCCATAGCTATTTAGGCATTTTTTAAAATCTGCTCCTATTGGCAACAGTATGGATGAGTAATGAGTGAAAGTCAGACAAAATCACATATTGTAAGTTTCATGAAGTTTATGAAAAAGCAAAATAAATCTTCATAGAAATAAGAATGGTGGTTATCCAAGAAGATAGGCACTTGGTACCAACTGGGGAGGGGGTCCTGCCTTCAGAGTTTACACACTGGGGTATACATGTAAGATTATCACACTACTGGATAGCTGTTATTCTTAAATAGCAACTTTTGAAAATCCATTCTAAGCAAGGTTATTCTAATTGTTTTTAAGTTGAAAACCTTTTTCAATTAGCAATAATCACGCCTCAGATAAACCTCATTGGCTACGATACTGCCACCACACAAAGCTAAGTTGGAAACCTTTTTAAGGTAACAACTTTTTTTTTTTTTTGGTACCGGGGATTGAACTCGGGTCCTTATGCTTTCGGGGCAGGCAGCGGAACCATTGAGCTAAAGCCTCAGCCCAAAGTAACAACTTTTCATTGAAATCAACCAGGTAATCCTGATTAAATTTCAATGACCTTGCTAAATAATCTTCTGAAATCCAATTTTTTTTCAGTTTATTAGTATATATGTGCAGTATATGTTTTACATTCCTTGTGGAAAGTTGGTACTATAGATAACACAATTTTATTCTGTTTTTTAATCCCCTTTCCTTTCTCCCTCCTTCCCCCCGCCCTCCATTCATCCCTTGATCCCCTTTTCCTTTTTTGGGGGGACATGTTTGCAGTACATGTTTACATTCCTTGTGTGAAGTTGGTACATGTACATAACACATCCCAATTCACTTTTTCATCCTCTTTGCCTTCCCTCCCTCCATCTCTTTATCCCCTTCCCTTTTGCAAAAAACTATCTCCCTACTTCCTATTATGTATCCTTTACTCTGCTTTTTATTTTTACTCTGGGTTTCTCACATAAGAGAAACCATGTGATATTTAAGCTTGTGTGACTGATTTATTTCACTTAACATTACGGTCTCAAGGTGCCATCTACTGAAGCCTAAATTTTAAAAGGAGATAAACTAAAAGGCCATTTTTTAACAATGGGCCGGGTGCAGTGGCACACACCTGTGATCCCAGCCCTGGCAGGCCGAGGAGGAGGATCAACTTGAGTTCAAGGCCAGACTGGGCTACAAAGTGAATTCAAGGCCAGTGTGAATTACATAGTGCAACCCTGTCTCAAAAAAAAAAAACCCTCAAAAATTAGCCACTAGACTGACCAGTGCAATATTGATGTGAGGCAGCATGCTAAAGTTACCTTTACTGTTTTTTTTTCTGTTTTTTTTTTTTTTTGGTACCAGGGATCGAACTCAGGACCTTGAGCTTGTGAGGCAGGCGAGGCACCACAGAGCTAAATCCCCGGCCCTATCTCTTTTTTAAAAATCTGTAATTTTCAGTTCAGTTTCATTAATGATCCTAAAAATATATTTAATGTCAGCATTAAGTATAAAAAGACCTGTATAAAATGGAAACGAAGTATATAAATAGAGAAGGGTGGAGGGGTGAAGGGTGCACAGGTAATGGGGAAAAAATAAGAACCAAGATAAATGTAAACGTACTGTATACCTAAAATGTACCAATAAAAGAATTTAATAAAGTTCTGTAGAGGAGAAAAAAAATAAAAAAATAAAAAGACCTGTATAGCACCTGAATCTGCTACTTATCACTGAAGACCTTGATAAAGCATAGATAGTAAAATGCCTTTTAGAAAGGACTAGCATGTGAACTCGGACTTCCCACATAGGGTATGAATACGTCAAACTCAAACAACAGTATGCATTAGACAAGATAAGTGTTTTTACTGTATACGAATATACTTCAAGAAAACTGTTTCTTAAAAAGCTGTTTTTTTGTTTTTCGTTCTGGTTTTTTGAGACAGGGCCTTACTATGTTGTTGAGGCCGGCCTGGAACTTTCAGGGATTCTTCTGTCTCAGCTTCTGGAGGGCTGGGATGAAGGTGGCATGCGCCACCACACCCGGCTATGAAAGCTGTCCGGTTTTGTTTTTAAATCTCAAAAGCCCCGAAGGGTGCTATGTGAACATTCTTTAAAGCAAGGGACTAGCCTGCCTAGAAGGAGCAAACTGGGCACAGACGACAAATTCCTGGCACTCCTCGGACTCCAGAGAGCAAGTCGCTGGACAGCTAGGGAATCTGCCCGACCTGAATACGCGAAACGCCACGGATCTACACGGCGCTTTCGCAGAGGATCCCTGAGGAGGTTAAGAGAGCAGGTCCGACGGAGGGAGCGAGGCTACCCTCCGCCCCTCGCGCCTCAGTCCCGAGAGCCGAGTCCCAGGCGCCTCAAGACCAAGAAGTCGCTTCCCCGCGCTTCGGGGACCCACAGGGCCGCGCCGCCCCGCGCCCGCACACCGCACTCCGTACCCGCTGAGCCGAGGTCCCGCCGCACAGCCCACCCTCTCAGGGGCGGGACTGCCAGTAACCAGCTCCTCAGCAACTCTCGCCCAGGAATTACCACTCCGCGAAGCCTCTACCGAGATTTCCACCTGAACAGGAGCCAGCGTCGCCTCTGCTTTCGCGAATCAGCCGCCACAATAAGCGCGGGGAAGGGAGCCCTGCCGCCTGGCAGGCTCCGCCCCCCCCATAGGCCCCACTCCCAGCAGGACTCTGTCCGGACGCCCTCCAGGGAAGTGTAGTTCCCGCTAGGCCCTCTGTGCTTGTGCACGAGCACCCTGGGCCCACAAAAACTACAACTCCCATGAGGTCACGCGACAGACGTTGCCTAGGGGATGGACGCTGCATCGCCTTCCGGCTGGGCGGGGCGCCAGGCTGCCTTGAGCGGGAGGCGCGGCGGGAGGGAATGGGTTTAGGAGAATCGCTTCCGTGGCGATGGACGACTTGGAGGGTGCTGGGAACGCCTAACGGAGGGCGGAGTCCGAGTGCCCGGCCGAACAGGGAACACAGATTCGAAACTAACCTGGAAAACAATTTTAGAGAGGTTTTGTTGTTGTTTTGATCCTTGCTTTGTGCTTTGGCTGGATTTGATTTATTAAAGACCCAGTTTTTTTAAAATGGGAGGGGAGAGCTGGCCACACTGCTTGATAAGGTCATTACCCTGTAAGAGATTACTCCAGCGCTCGGCGTTGTGGCGGCGCACGCCTGTGATCTCAGCACTCAGGAGGCTGTGGCAGGAGGATCACCACGAGTTCTAGGCCAGCCCGACCTATATAGTTTAAGGCCAGCTTGAACTACATAGTGAAACTCTATCTTTTAAAAAAAAAAAAAAAGTCCCAGCTACATGAGAGGCTGAGATGACATCGTATGAAGAGCTTGTAGTCTTCAGAGCTCAATTTTTCTGAAACTAGTCTCATTTGCAAAATCTGGATGTTCATAAACATAGCCACTTCACAGGATTGTCATGATAATTACATTAAAAGAAAAACTATCTGTAAACTTAGCACACTCTGCAACTCTTGACCATGTGGCTTCAACTACAGATGAAACTTACTATGTGCCAAAGCCCAGCTCTGCAGTTCATGTCACTGGCTGGGCCAGACACTGAATATCACTTCATTCTCAAACTGTTTGGTAATAGCTTTTTAAAATTTTTAACTGACACATATTAGTAATACATATTAATGGGGTGGAATATGATTTTTCAGTACACGTATATAATGGGTAATGATCAGAGTGATAGGTGCACCTGTGTCCTCTGACATCATTTCTTTGTGTTCAGAACATTAAAATCCTCTCTACTCACTATTTGAAATATCAGTTGTCAACCGTAGTTACTGTACTGTGCTACAGAACCTTAGAAGTTATTTCTCTTATCCAGCTGTACCCTTGTGCCCATTAACCATTGTCTTAGTTACCCTCCTTGTCAGTGGGAAATACACCTACTTTTGTGGAACTCAAGAGACCAAAGAAATCAGCTGGTGAAACAGGAGGATTTATTTACTTGTACACCGACTCAGCAGACTCATGTCCAAAGGCTAAGCCTCAAACATGCTGCCCAGGGGGTTGGTCTACCAGTGGCGTCTAACTTGGCGGTGGGCAGACAGAACAAAGGCAATTTGTCAAGCTGTGACAGCTTTGCAACTTAACATATCCCAGTGGCCTTTGTTGGGTAAAAATAAGATCTTATGAGAACACGATTACTACAATTTAAAGGAGGAGAGATTGTTTCTGGCTCCTGTTTCAGAAGTCCTTGCATGGTCAGCTGGCTCCAGGCGGAAGCAGCATGGTGGAAGGGCCTGGTGGAGGAAGGCTCCTCACCTCATGAGTGAGGTTGACAGGGGAGCAGGAAGGGAGACAAAGCCTCCCAGGTCTGGCTCTAGTTACCACCTCTTCTGACCAGACCCCAACTCCTAACAGCAACCCAGCTATAATCCCCCACAATCCAATCATCTTCCAAAATCCCCGCTATGAGCACAGGAGGCTCTTGAGAGACATCTGGATAAAATCATAACAATCATCCTCTCTCCACCCCCTCTCTCCCTTTAGCTATTGTTTAACATAGTTGGCCTAAGTATGATAGGTGGCTGGAGAGGTGGGAACCTTTTGTTTCTGGACTATTATGGTAGTGACTTCTCCGACAAAAGATGACAAAAGTGCAGGTCTGACACAGGACTGATCTCCAGTAACTCCAGGTTGGATAGATGCAGAGAAAGGGGCAAGTACCTGGCCCTGGGGCAAAGTCAGAAAAACCCCACAGCCCACTCTGCCTGTGTGAAGAGAGGGAAATCCTCACCAAGGTCCCAAATTCAGATTTCTAGAATATACTGTTGTTGGGGCATGAGACTGGCAGCAAAAGATCATGGCAACCTGTAAGTCCACCCACAAAAAGATTATCACCTCTACCACAATCTAAGACGCCCAACCTTCAGTGTTCGGTGTACGACAAAGGAGAATTCTGGCCTTAATCTTTGCTATGACAACACCAAGCAATGCCATTACAGTTGACATATATGTAGTTTTACTTTCTTCTTAAAAACAACAATAATTGGGCCAGGCACGGTGGTGCACACCTGTAATCTCAGCACTTGGGAGGCTGAAGTAGGAGGATTGCCCCAAGTTCAAGGCCAGCCTGAACTACATTAAAAGACCCTGTCTCAAAAAAAAAAGAAAGAAAGAAAGAAAAGAATTTACTTTTTAAAAACATTTTTTGTTTTGTTTTTTGTTTTTGAGACAGGATCTCACTATGTAGTTAAGGCTGCCTTGAACTCACTGTGGAGCTCAGGCTGACCTCAAACTCATGGTGATCCTCTTGCCTCCTGCCTCCACCACACGTGGCTTTTTACATATTTTTAAAGGTGCATACTTTCCACAAATATGAAAATTGTCAGTGATTTGCACATTCTAAAATTACATCAACTACAAGGAGTAGAGCTGTTCAAAAATCTTTCAGATTTGTTCAGCTTATTCTTTAAAATATTATTGTGTGGGCTGGGGATTTAGCTTGGTGGTTCCAGTGCCTGCCTCGCAAGCACAAGGTCCCGAGTTCGATTCCCAGTACCTAAATAAATAAATAAATAAAAACATTATTGAGTGAAAATAAAGTGGTTTTGAGGTTGAGGCTCATACTTTGAATGTCTGGCAAAATTCGGTGATGCCATCTGATTCTGGGCTTTTTATTCTGGATGATTTTTGATTACTGATTGTATTTCTTTATTTACATATCTATAAAGATTTTCCATTTTTCCTTAAGTTATTTGTGTATTCCTGGCAATTTGTTCACTTCATCTAGGTTATCTAATTTATGGATACAAAACTATTAGGCAGGCGTGGTGGTGCATGCCTGTCTTCCAGCAGTCAGGAGACTGAGACAGGAGTCTTGCCAAGAGTTCAAGGCCAGCCTGGGCTACATAGTGAAATCCTGTCTCAAAAAACAAAAGAAAAGAAAAGAAAAGAAAAAATTGTTCATGGAGGATTCTCTTATAAGCTTTACTATTTCTGAAGGTCAGTAGTGTTGAGACGGGAGATAGGCCTGTCTTAGGCTGGCTGGGAAGAGATATATGGCAGGATCCCAGGATCTACACAGCACTCTCTCTCAGGACCCTGTATTCAGAAGTTCTCATGGGTTCCCTCAAGGTGTGAATGGCAAAAAAGGACCCAGATGCCAAGAAGACTGCAATATGCGTCCCTTTCAGAGTAGCCCACCTGCGTCTCTCAGGTCCAGAGTGTCCTTTTAGTTTTGCTTTTAATTTCTCCTCTCTTTTTGTTTTTCTCCCAAGTTTGCTCTGCAGAGCCAGTTTCTCCCTTACTCTCCACCCATACTTTTTCAAATAAACTTTGGCACTTTTCAGCTTGTCTTGTTCCATGTTTGTCTTAGTGGAGAAGGACCTGATAATGTTTATGAGCCATTCCTAACAGGAGGCTGCCTGATAACAGTGTCCCTACTTTCTTTCCTGACTTTAATAATTTGCCCCCTCCTCTCTTTCTCTCTCCCCGTCCCCCAAAATAAGTTTTGTCAATTTTGTTGACCTTTCTCCAAAAATCTACTTTTGGTTTCATTGTATGTTTTAGACAAGGTCTCCCTATGGGTTTCCTTTTTTTTTTTTTTGGTACCGGGGATCGAACTCGGGTCCTTGCCCTTGCGCAGCAGGTGTCAAAACCACTGAGCTAAATCCCCAGCAGGTCTCCCTATGTTGCTCAGTCTGGCCCTGAACTCCTGGCTCAGCCATCCTCCCGCCCCCAGCTTTCTGAGCAACTGGAACCACAGGCACATGCCACTATTGTTTTACATTATAGTTTTACATTCTATATTTCATTTATTTCTGCTCTAATTATTATTTCTTCCTTCTAACCTTGGATTAATTTGCTTTCTCAAACGCTAGGCAAGCACTGACCTACAGCCCCACCTTTTTTTTTTTTTTTGGGGTCAGAACCTCACTAAATTGCCCAGGCTGGCCATGAATTTTTTGTCCTCCTGCCTCAGCTTCTGAGGAAGCTGGCATTATAGGCACGTATAGCAGGCCTGGCTGGGCTCTTCTTATATATATATAGGCATTTAAGGCTATAAATTTCCCTCTAAGCATTTATGCTGCATCTCATGGTTTAGTATGTTATATTTTTCACCATCTCAAAATATTTTCTAATTTCTCTGGTGATTTCTTCTTTGACCCAAGTGTGTAATTTCCACTTTTTTTTTTCTTTTTTGCAGTACCAAGGATCGAACTCAGGACCTTGCACTTGCTAGGCAGGCGCCGGAACCACTGAACTAAATCCCTGGCCCATCATCCTTCTATTTCTTATTTAAACCACAGCACCCTCTACCCACTTCTCCCACACTTGAACTTTGGATTTCTCCCCACGGGAAAACTCCAGCGGGCTCCGACTCCCCGGCAGCGGGGCCTGGTTCTGGCCAGTTAGGTCCCGGGAACGACCCGGGCGTGGCTACCAGAGGCCCCGCCCCGCCCCGCAAGCCCCACCCAATCTCTTCGGGGAGAACCGGAGTCCAACACGGAAGCGCCCGAGCGGGGAGCGGGGTCTTCAGCTGCGGACGTGCCGCGGGACCTTCTGGCAGGTGCGTGGGCCCCGTGGCCTCTAGGTCGCGCCAGTCCAGCCGGGGCAGCTGGGTGCGCGAGGCGGGGTCGACTGGGCCCGGGGCCGCGGGCGGGGACCGGACAGGTGGGGAGGTCTGTAGTGGGACGCGAGGCCTGGGCTGGAGGTCACGGGCACGGTCGGAACCCCGTGAGGGCCGCGTGGGGAGGGGTGTCGGTGCCGTGGTGAAGGCTGCTGTGCCAGGACCTCTGACGCTGGGACCCGAGCCTGGCTTCCGGGAGACGCCAGCCGGGGAGCCTGGCCGAGCCCCAGGCTGACGGACGTCGGGGAGCAGAGCGTCCCGGCCCCTCCCCTGCCCGTCAGCGCTCCTGTGCCCGAAGGGAGGGAGAGGGAGTCGGAGCTGGCAAACCCGAGCAGGCCGCGCCTTGGAGTCTGGAGGTTGGAAACCAGGGCCCGGCTTGAAACTTACCACAACTCCACGAGGAGCCAGCCCGGCGCGGCGTAGTGGCGCTCTTCTGTAGTCAGTCCCAGCACTTGTAAGGCTGAGGCAGGAGGATCGCTGCGAGTTCGAGGCCAGCCTTTGCTACATAGCGAGATCCTGTATTTAAGAAAAGAATGGGTAGAGGAATATAGTAAATCTTTGCTAGGTATATTTATCACAATTTTTTTTTTTTTTTTGGTACCGGGGATCGAACTCGGGTCCTTGCGCTTGCGCAGCAGGTGGCAAAACCACTGAGCTAACCCCCCGGCCCTATCACAATTTTTTTTAAAGATGGAAAAATATTTATACTCATTGATTCAGTAATTCCACTTCTTGCCACATTTTCTAAGGAAACATGACAGATTTGGCCCAAAATATATGTGCAAACATTTCCCTCAAAGTGTCATTAAAATAGTGAACAATTTTTGTCAGGATCATTTACATAATTTGGGGGAAAAATAATTTCACAATTAAATTATGATTAGGCTTAGTCTTTTTGCCTACAGGCTGGCTACGACAAGCCAAAGCATAACTCCATTTTTGCCTCTGGTCACAGCTGAGACCTCAATTGTCCTGTGATGCTGTGATACTCAAGGGCAAGATTACATTAGCTAAAGACATCCTGGTTCCTTGAAAACAGAGTAGTGAGAGGGCCTGGGATTTAGCTCAGTGGTTCTGCCACCTGCCTTGAAAGTGCAAGGTCCTGAGTTCAAACCCCAGTACCAAAGAAACAAAAAACTGAGCAGTAAGAGAAGGGTTTTGTGGAGGCACACAAATTCCTTATTAGTTTAACTCATCCCACCTACTAATGTAAGAATGTTCTCCTTCAGCCCTCATCAACATAAAAACCTCATGACCTAAGATCCACATGGACATAGGATTACAGGCACCCCCTGAGTCACCCGATACTCCCTCCAATTATTGTGTCTACCCAATAAATAATGGCTAGCTTGGAGGCTCTTTAACTTTGCCCACTCCGAGGCACTGACCTCCCAGCCCCCATATACTTTGAAGTTACACATCTTTCTTGTCTTTTTTTTTTCTTTAGCCCTCGCCATCCCCTGTTTCTAGGCGGATTGATCACCCTCTGATAAATTTTAAATAACCAAGCATCCAGTGACTTTAGATAGAATGAAAGAAACACAGAGTTTATGTAGCCACTACAGATACTTGCAAAAGCGATTTAGTTGTTTGTTTTTTCTTGTTTTTGGTACCAGGGATTGAACTCAGGACCTTGCACTTGCGAGTCAGGCACCGTGCCACTGAGCTACATCCCTGGCCCAAAAAAGCTATTTAGTGACGTGAGAAATACTCATTAAAGGTTAAGTAAGAGAGTATGGCTATAAAATTAAATTGCATAGGGATGGGGTGTAACTCTGGTGCAGCCCTAGGGCCTTGGTATTGCTTCCTGTATTGGGAGCCTCTGGGAATGGGTGCCACCGCCTGTCACCTGGAAGTCACAGGGCCTGGGTAGGGTGGGGACACTTATCTGGCATTGCATGCCCAGGGCAGGGGAAAGAGGAGCAGTCTTGCATTTACACTGGTTTGGAGCTAGGACCTTCATCAGGAGGCAGTTTACCCTGGGGACCTGGACAGACCTGACTTCTGTGGTGGCGCACACCTTTAGCCCCAGCACTCTGAGAGGCTGAGCAAGGAGGACCCCAAGTTCAAGCCCATCCTGGGCAATTTAGAGACTTACCCAAGATCATCTCAAAAACAAAAACGACAACTACTGGGAATTAAATTCAGCACCTTACCATTTATTAGTTTACTGTTAAATAGAATTTTCAATCTAAAGTAGTATGCTTTACCCTTCTTTTGTTGTTGTTTGAGGTGTCCGGGAAGGAACCCATTGCCTCCCACAAGCTAGGCAGATGCTCTTATCACTGAGCTACGCCCTGAGCCCTGCTTATTTTTTCTTATTTTTCTTGCTTATTTTTTATTTTATTTTATTTATTAATTTTTTTTAAAATTTTTTTCCGGTACTGGGGATTGAACTCAGGACCTTGGGCTTGCAAGGCAGGCACAGTGCCACTGAGCTAAATCCTCAGCCCTCTTGCTTATTTTTTATATGTGACAGTGTATGGCAGTGAAAGAATTAAATGAACCTCAGATGCATCAATGTATATGTATTTAAGTGTGTGTGCAACATATATTTCAGTTAAACATTAGTTGTATGTTTTTATTAATAATTGTGCAGATTTTCTCCAGAATGGCTTAACAGAAACCCGTATAACAATTGAATCTCTTTGAGGCAGTCTTTTTCTTTTTTCAGTATCAGGGATTGAATCCAAGGCATCCCATATGCCAGGGAAGCATAATACCCTACATCTCTATCCATTAAGGAGTCTCTTTGAATTCATAAAATAATTATCTGTAAAAATCCATGCTTCACTATTACATAGTATTAACTTTTACTTTAGAAATAAATGCTTTGGGCTGGGGATTTAGCTCAGTGGTTCCACCGCCTGCCTCAAAAGCACAAGGTCCCGAGTTCGATCCCCAGTACCAAAAATAAAAAAAGAAATAAATGCTTCTTGGGCCGGGGATGTAGCTCAGTTGCACGTGCCCTGAGTTCGATTCCTGGTACCGGAAAAGAAAAAAAAATGTTTCTTGAACCACACACCTAATGTGTAACTGAGGTTTGTCTCCTCTTCATCAAGACATACATTATGAGGTTGTACAAAGGGTTTGATTTTTACTTCATAATAACCATAAAAGCCAGAAATGACTCTAAAACCAGTACGCATACTACAAGCTAGGATAGTGTTCAGTTTTTGTAATTATAACATGATTGTAATTTTGGTTTTTGGTTTTAGTTTTTTGAGACAGGGTCTTTCAATGTAGTCCAAGCTGCCCTTGAGCTCACTATGTAGCCCAGGCGGGGCTCAAACTCGAGGCAGTCCTCCTGCCTCAGCCTCCTGAGTGTTGGGATTACAGGTGTGCACCACCATGCCTGGCTGTAGTATCTTTTTTTCTTAAATGCCCAATTTTCCCCCAGTTTGCTTGTAGAAAGAATCTAAATTCATTGTTAACTGTGTTCACTGAAAAGTGATTTCCTTAAAAACTGTGACTTAAAACTTTTCTTTCAGGATGACTGTGGGAATCTTTGCAAATTGTACCTTCTGTTTGAGAGTTAAGTACTTACCTCATCAGCAGAAGAAAAAGCTGCAAACCAACATTAAGGAGAATGGTGGAAAAATTTCCTTTTCGTTAAATCCTCAGGTATTTCCAAATCTCATATGGTAAGCATGGTGTAATTGGGGAGTGCAGGTCATGGTTAGAGGAGTAAGCAGAGGAGATCCGTAATGCTTGAAAGTGTGAGAAGACAGGAGAAACTACCATCCCCACTGAGCAGTGGTTGAGAAGAGACAGCAGAGGGCCATCTGCAGACCTTCTTTGTCTGGGAGCTCTGGGACAATTCCACACACTCTGGATCTGAGTACAGACAAAGCTGTAAATTGAATTTCAGTCCAGCCAACTCTGTTTTCGAAGGAAGAAATTCATAGTCCACAGCATTTGCGAAACACTATAGTCACCAGTAGATCACTGCTGAAAGGACACCTGGGAATGTGGCTCATGGGGCAGAAGGAAAGTATGCAATATAAATTGATTTTTGTGATATACCCTGGCTGTTTGTCTTATTTGTGTAAGGGCTGAAGGAAGCAACTTCCATCTCCTGAACTGTAGGCCCAAGAGTTTAAGATATAGAAGTTCACAGCTGGATGAAACTTTGGAAATAATTGAGGTTAATCTCTTTATAAACCACTTCATTGTAAAAAAAATAACAACTGAGGTCCAGAGGCACTTGGTTCCAGGCGTGCCTGCCCCTCCCTTTGCTCTTCCTCTTCCTCAGTTGATGTAAGATGGCACTCACCCAGCCTACCCTTCCCTGTACAGCCCTGGTGTGGCTGCAGTGAGCCTCCTCTGTTCCGGAAGTGAATCTCACAAATGGGATGTCCTGTTACCTGCGGTGTAGGCAGAGTTGTGTGTGCTTCCCTCAAATGGCTCCCCTCACTCACCTGCCTCACCATTGTGTGGGTAGATGGATAATCCACACCTGTTCTACCTTCTCAGCTGGTCGTTTGGGTGAAGAACAGGCTAACACAGTCTCTCCTTTTTAGAAACTCTCACATACTATGTGTGCAATATTTCACAAGTTTCTTTGCCAATGTATGTAGCTTCTTGAAAAGTGCATGCAGTTATTATAAAGAAAGAGACACAACTGGCTGTGTTGGGGCAGGCCTGTAATCCCAGCTACTCAGGAAGTAGAGGCAAGAGGATGGCAAGTTCAAAGCCAACATGAGCAACTTCTTAAGACTTTGTTTTAAAAAAAGATGTATCCCACTGCCTGGCTCAAAAGCGCAAGGTCCCGAGTTCGATCCCCAGTACCCACTCAAAAAAAGAGGTATCCCTATAATATAAGGGTGAGGAATGAGCTCCAAGACAGACTCTGGATAGTGTGCTTCCATTTGTGCACGAAGTGTGTATTATCTGTGCAGAAAATAGCTCTAGAGAGATAGATGAGGAACAAATTATAAAAGAATCTCTGGGAAGACAAACCAGGAAAAATACTGGGAAAAAAGTTAGCACATCATTATTTTTATTTCACTTTTAACATATTCTAGGTCTGGGGATTTAGCTCAGTGGTTCCACCGCCTGCCTCGCAAGCACAAGGTCCCAAGTTCCATCCCCAGTACGAAAAAGAAGAAAGGAAACATATTCTAGAATGTACATGTACTATTCAGAACTAAAGTTACAAATAATTTAAAATAGAAAAGGATGGATACTCTTAACCTCTTTTTCCATTATTATTATTATTTTTTTTTGTACTGGGGATCGAATTCGGGACTTTGAGCTTGTGAGGCAGGCGCCAGAACCACTGAGCTGAATCCCCAGCCCCTCTTTTTCCATTCTTAAGGAAATAAGTGAACAGGGTATACAGGTGTACATCACAGCATTGTTCCAATAGTGAAAACTGGAAATAATCTCTGGAGTTGGTTAATCAGTTGTTATACATCCAAATCTGTAGTTGTTTTTTTTTTTTAACTTTTATTTCCATTTATTTTATGCCTAATTTATTCCCATGCCATAAGTTTTTGTTTCTTCAGTTTCTTCTGGGCTATCTTTTTCTTCTGTGCAACTTCCTCCTCTGGTTTAGGAACAATTTGTTCCTTTTCAGTAAGGATCATCTCAATATGGCAGGGGGAGCTCATGTATGGGTTAATCCGGCCATGAGCTCTGTAAGTACAGCGGCGCATCTTGGGTGCTTTGTTCACCTGGATATGTTCAATGACCAGAGAATCAACACCTAAACCCTTAAGTTCAGCATTACTCTCTGCATTTTTAAGCATGTGCAGCAAAAATTCAACACTCTTTTTGGGCCACCAGCCCTGTGGCCAGCCCCACTGTTTGGCCTGGGCACACCTACCAACTCCACCATTGTAACGCCTGAGTGGGACACATTGTTTCTTTAACATGACATCCTTCAGATACTTGGTGGCCTTTCTGATATACATAACCTGGATGGCCTGGGAAGTTTCACGGGTGTTCTTAAAGTGAACACGAAGATTTGAGCCTCTTGATATGCATGATTTTGTGGGGTTTTCTGGGTCAAGAGAGTATCGAACCATTTTCACAGGTCACCTCTGGCCACTTGCTTACAGGAAGAGCCAAATCTGTAGTCTTTAAAAACTGTTCACTTGTAGGCTGGGAGTGTAGCTTAGTGGTAGAGAGCACTGGCCCAGGATGTTCAAGGCCCTGGGTTCCACACTTAGCACTACAAAACAAACACACACACACACACACTACCCAACTCATTCTTACAATTTTTATGTAACTAGAAATTATATTACAAAGATTTTTTTTTTTTTTGGTACTAGGGATTGAACTCAGGACCTTGCACTTGCAAGGCAGGCAGCAGAACCACTGAGCTAAATCCCCAGCCCTAAAGGTTTTTAAAATCTGAGGAAAAATTATTGAAAACTATCTTAAAACAAGATTTTTAAAGGATGCAAAGTTGAGGATATTGTACAAATAATGTACTACTTAAATTTTGTTTTTACTGATGTGTAACAGATTGACTTTTTTCTTAGTGCACACATGTGATCTTAGATAATGCTGATGCCCTGAGTCAGTATCAACTGAACTACTTCCAAAAGAACCACATTCATACGGCAACTCCAGATTTCATATGGCAGTCTGTCAAAGAAAGGAAACTCTTGGATTTGAAGGATTATGATCCTGCTGAGTCACAAGACATTGTGCCACCTCCTGATCACAAGATGAGCTATTCTGGTAGGTGTGCATAGCTAGCCCTTGATGTACTGAACATGCTGCAGGGGATGTGTGGGCTTGTTGAAGATATTATAGACAAAAGTCCAAAAATACTACAGAAAGAATTGGGCTTCTTAATACCTCAGATTAAAATGGGAAGCAAAATAGTTAAGGAAAAAAGATCAATTTGAGAATAGAAATAAATTTCTTAATATCCAATCTAGTGAGATCCAGATTCAAAATGAGTACATAAGCATTAATAATCTTAGAAAACGTAATGTGTAATTTTAAATGGGAGGGGTAAAAACCTTTTTGTTGTATTTTGTTTTGTTTTGTTTGTTTCTGAGACAAGGTTTCGGTATTGTGCCACCACGCCAGGCTGACTGAGAATTTTGTGACCAACATTTAATTGCTGAAGAAGTTTCTTCCAGTGCCAGGGATTTAGCTCAGTGGTTTCACTGCCTGCTGCACAAGCACAAGGACCCAAGTTTGATCCCTGGTACCGAAAACAAAAAAAAAAAAGTAGTTTCTTCCATTCTTCCAAAAGTTGGTCTCCAAAATGTGTAAAAGATACTGGGAAATGGGAAGAAAGTGTTCAAATGAGAAGGGGATCTAGAGAGGGGGGAGGGGGAGGGGGAAAGGAAAGAAGGGACAAGGGAAAAAATAGAAATAAACCTTTTGTAGAGAAGGGGAAGGGGGGGTTGAAGTGAGAGGAGGGGAAGGGGAAAAAAGAAGCATAATATATCATGTAAAGGTACAAATTCCTTATAATGAATGTTACTACATACATCTAAAACGTACCAATCTGAAACAATTGGTTTCCCCTAAAGAAACGTATCTTATTTATAAACCCTGATTTTATTTTGGAATCTGGCCAGAGAAATGAATACCTCATGAATCATCCAAAAATCAGTCAGTTTAGCCAGGTACAGTGGATGTACCTGTAGTCCCAGCTACTCAGGAGGCTGAGGCAAGAGGATCACTTGAGCCAAGAAGCTTGAGACAAGCTGGACAATATAGCATGGCAAAAACCAAACAGTTCTGATAAACAATAACTTACAGTAAACACACGATGTGTATTAGCACAATAAACATTTTGGTAGGGCAAAACCTCTCTTGATAAGCAGTTGTACAAAAATGCTGCTATAGTCATTGACTTTCTTTTTTTTTTTTTTTTCCGGTCTTTGACTTTCTACTGTTTTAAAAAAAGGATAGGTAACATACAAACAGGCAGGGTGAGAGACCCCTTTTAATTTGAAAACACTGTTCACTATCCAGAATGATCTGTTCAGGTTCAGTTTCTCCAGATACACTGATGGGTTTTGAAATCATTTTTCTTTTTTTTTTTTTGGTTTTTTTGAGGCAGGGTCTCCCTTTGTAGTTCAGGCTGGCCTTCAACTCACTATGTAGCCCAGGCTGGCCTTCAGCTCACAGCAATCCTCCTACCTCAGCCTCCCAAGTGGTGGTATTACAGGTGTGTGCCCCCATGCCCTGCTAGGATTTTATTGATTGATTGATTGTAGTATCAGGAGTCAAACTCAGGATCTTGTGCTTTCGAGGCAGGCGCAGTGCCACTGAGCTAAATCCCTGGCCCCTGGCTAGGGTTTTGAAATCTTAATAGTATAATTAAAACTGGAGCTAGGGTTATAACATAGTTGTAAAGTACCTACCTTGCATACACAAGGTCCTGGAGTTAAAACCCTAGCATCAGAAAAATAATAATTTTTAAAATGAAATTATTCCTGCATATCACTATTCTATAATGTCAGGATTTCTCTATAAGAAAAATACAAAGTGAAATCTCACATAGAGCCTTTGAATTCCCCTCTAAACCAGAACACCTCTAGTTGCTTCACTTGTGACACTGTGACACTTGGAATTCATTCTAATCATGGATTATATTAGAAATCCATTTTATAGCTGCTTACCGTGATCTTTAGAGAGAAAAGTGCCATTTGAAAATTTTGTGGGTCCGATGTAATACATGTCTATCATCCCAGCACTCTGAAGGCTGAGGCAGGAGGATTTCAAGTTTGAGGACAGCCTGGGGTATATAGCTAGACCCTGTCTCAAAAAAGAAAAAGAAAATTGTATGGCTATCAATGAGGTTCAAATAATACAGATTAGATTAGAATTCTTCTAATGTGCCTATTGTGTTCCCCTTTTCCCATTTGTATTGTCCTGAGATTATCCATAACCATTTCTTTTTTTTTTTTTTTTGTGGTACTGGGGATCAAACTCAGGACCTTGTGCTTGCAAGCCAGGTGTGGTGCCACTGAGTTAAATCACCACCCCATAACCACTTCATTTAAAAAAAATTTTTTTAAACTACACTTCATTTAAAGACAGATAAAAATAGAATTGCAAATATGGTCCATATTTAAGAATCTTGACAATCCCAGTAGTTAGGTTAGCTATTAATTATAATAAATTTATGAGCTATAAATAGATATTTTATTTGCTTTCATTCTAGAAGTGAAAACAGATGATCTCACCCTGGACATTGCCCCAGAGGAAGAAATCGTGGAAATAACTGAGTAACCCAAATGTTTCATAAGCCTCAAGCACAGTATTAAAATATTATTTGTAGACTTCTCTAGATTTTTGTTTTCTTTATCTGTTAAGTTTGCATTAAGTCTGCTTTACTATTATAGTGATAATTACTTTTATTTTCTTATTATATGAGATGGGATATAATTATTAGCTTTACTAATTTTGTGTATGTGTGTGGTACTGAGGATCGAACTGAGGACCTTGCTCTTGCAAGGCAGGCTCAGCTTTACTAGTTTTTAAAGATTTCACCTGACAATAAGATTAGAGTGGACCTGGGGTTTAGCTCAGTGGCAAAGCGCCTGCCTGGCAAGTAAGAGGTCCTGAGTTTGATCCCCAGTACTAAAGAAAGAAAAAGAAAAAGATTAGGGCAGCCTGCTTGCCTGTTGAAAAGCCTTTGGAATAAACACAGTTCTTAGTCTATCTGATATTTTTAAAAATAAAAATAACCACCTTCTCCAAATGGATTATGTGAGTCTGAAGTTCTGTATGGCTTCTTAAAAATGCAGTGTTAATTAGGCATCATATTTGTACGATGTTAATAGTATATTGGTGTATGTTAATAGTAGTGTTAAAAGAGAACAAAATCCAAAATAAAAAGTATGGATGGATAATAACTATGAGTTCTTTATTTTAAGTGGAAGTTGAAGCCAGGAACAGTGGCATGTGCCTGTAATCCCAGCAACTCTGAGAGGCTGAGGCAGGAGGGTGATAAGTTTGAGCCTAGCCTAGTCAACTTAGTGAGACCCCGCTTCAGAATAAAAAATAAATAAATAAAAACCACTAGGCATAAAGCCCAGTGCTAAAGTACTTGTTTCAGGGCCGGGGATTTAGCTCAGTGGTTTCGCCGCCTGCTGCGCAAGTGCAAGGACCCGAGTTTGATCCCCGGTACCAAAAAAAAAAAATAAAGTACTTGTTGCACATGTGTGAGGCCCTGAATCAGTCTCCAGTACTGGAAAAACGAAGAAGGGTCAGCGCACCAGGCAAACCCAGTGGTGTCTCCAGAGCAGGTAGCAGTGTTCTTTCCTGTATGCTTTCTTCGTGTACACCTGCCTTCCAGTATAGATGTCCACGGTTCTGGACATCTCACCCTGGACATGAAGAGCTAGAAAATTATGCAGATGAGTAATTGCTCTGATCATTATATATTATATGCATATATCAATAATAGTGATGATTCACACTATATACCTTACATATGTACAATTAAAAATATTAATAATTGTTTTGAGACAGAATCTCCTTAAATTTCTAAGTTGCCCAGGTTGGCTTTGAACTCATGATTGTCCTGCATCAGCCCCCTAAGAGCTGGAATTATGGGTGTGCACTATACCTAGCCTAAAATTTTTTTTCGAAACTATGCAGAGGAGAAATCTGGTTCATTTCTCATGATCTTTTAACCATTTCTAGAAAACCTAAGGAGGCAGTAAGGGCTCATAAATGTATTTCATGGGGAGTTAGGAGAGTTATTATAAAATTTTGATGCCTAAAAATTCATTTTAATGTAAAATTTTAATTATACAAATTTCAGGTTTTGCGCAGAGAATGTTGAAATTCCTTATTTTTCTCAAGAATTTGAAATTGCAAAATATAACACCTTGGAAAAAGTGAGTCTGATTTTTATTTAGGAAAAAATAAATTGTTTGAATGACTTCCGAGCATTTTTTCTGTTTGAACATTTTCTCATTGTTTTGAAAAATTGTTTATATATTAGATATAATATAGTTCATAATATATGAGTTGGTTTTTACCAGTCAAAATATTTTTATGTTTAAAATTTAAATTTTTAGTGTTTTAATTATAAAAGTAATATATACTCATAGTACAAATTTTTTTTCATAGTACAAATTTTAAACAGTAGAAAATATTAATATGTCATTAAAAATAAGTCTCCCTGTTATTAACAGTGATTTGGGCCGGGGATTTAGCTCAGTGGTTCTGCCGCTTGCCTTGCAGGTCCAAGGACCTGAGTTTAATCCCCAGTACCAAAAAAACAAAACAAAACAAACAAACAAAAAAAGTGATTTATATTTGAAAAGGTAGATTTGACCTCAGGTACTTATGCCACAGTGAATTGCTCTTCCTTTTGCATGCAAATAAAAACAGAAAGCTTTTCTTTGACAAAGTCACACAAATGAAAGTCAACATTTGCCTTCAAAATGGTACTCCATTTAAAAAAAGTGGTACTCCATCTATGTTTTTTAGATATTTTAATAAAATGTAAATTGATAGTAACATTTTCCCCTGTGGTAAGGAAAAAATAAAAAGTGGTATACTATATACATATACTGAGAAAATATAGGAGTGAAAATATAAAAACATGAATGGTGATTATTTCTCTGTGGTAGGATTTCAGGTGATTTTTATTCTTGGTACTTTTCTATATTTTCCAAGCTACATCTCTAAAAATACATGTATTACTTTGTAATTACAATCAGCATCTTTGAGTACAGTGTGCAACTAGTTTTTTCCCCAGCACAGCTTCTGGAGACGCCCGTGTTTTCCAGGGAGGAGCAGACAGAGGCCAGGAAACGGTGGTGGTAGAGCTGCAGTGTGCCCAGGAGCCGGGAGACAGTCCTTTTCTGATATCCGCCCACTTCCTGCTGGCTGATGGCATGCAGGTGATGCTCTTTATATTGGTACCTGTGTATCTATCCACTTTTGTTCCTAAGTAGTTTCCTTAAAATCAGTCAAGGAACTAGCCAGCCTGCTATCCTTGTTCTTCTTTGCCTGTTGTCTTAGTCAGCTGGGGCTGTTATAAATAGTCTGGTATTTGGTGGCTGGGTGGATTAAACAACAGATATTTGTTTCTCAGTGCTGGAGCTGGAAGTCCAGGACTGAGATTATCATGCAGGGTTGATTTCCTCTGGATTTTCTGTCCTTGCTTTGTTGTCGTATGTCCTCATTTCTTCTTTTTATAAGGGTACCAGTCATACTGGAGTAGAACTTAATCCTCATGAGCTTCATTATCTTTTAGAGTTAACTTAATTACCTTACTCAGTTCTGTGCTGAGGAACTGGCTGAGGTTAAGACTCCAGAATATGAATTGGGAGGGAAGCCACAGTTCAGCCTATAATACCTGGTAAATAGTTCTTCAGCATAGAAACATTCTCTTTTGGAATATGAGAAGTAAGTACTGTGTCCCCTAACTAGAGCAGCTCAGGGTTCTGTCAGAGAAGAACATTCATTAGGTGCAAAGTATACAGGATTCCTGCTCCTGGTCCACAGTGCTTACAGAATATTTTCCAGTGTGTATACCTCTTAAGCAGTTCATCAACACACTTCATCAGTGGCTTGCTGTATACCAGGAATTCTGCTAGGGCCAAGACCAAAAAATTTAAAAAGTGCTGCAGGCCCTGACCCTCAGAAATCACCTATATGGAAAGATACAACACTCTCCTGTTGCAGTCTACTGTGATGCTTCTGATTTTGGAATGTGTATGAAGTATTGAGGGCTAAGGTCACAGAACCCTGGGACCAGAAATACGGGTTTTGGAGAAGCCGTGACACCTTTCCCCGTGGTCAGTGTCGAGTGGAGAGTATGATTCCAGTGTAAAACAATTAGGAAATGAAAATAAGCCCAGAATTTGTGCCTCAAAGTCAGATAGAACATGCAACCCCACCAAAGTTCTTCTCAGCTAGACTTTTAGACTAGGGATCTACTGTGGGCCCAAAACACAGCAGCTGGCAGGATCCATGTTGCTTCTCAGTGGGAGTGGGCCTCATAGGGGCCCACATGGGCTCTGGGAGCTTCTCACTTTGCCCTGCTCCAGTGTCAACCCAGGAGCAAAGGAAGGAGACTCATATTGTGTGGATACAGGATCCACTAGCTGAGAGGCCCTGCCCCTCAGGAGCCTGTATCTCTTGTAACATGGGTCCAAGGTGCCCCCAAGAGATGTACCCAGTTCCATGAGTCACCACTCTTGAGAAACCCCAAAAGGCTAGAAAGTCAGTTGTTGTTTTTTTTGTTACCGGGGATTGAACTTGGGTCCTTGTGCTTTCGAGGCAGGTGGGGGAACCACTGAGCTAAATCCCCGGCCCTGGAAATTCAGTTTTAAAAGTTCATTCAGGTAGCATATAAAGTAAGGTCTGTAACCTCCGAATGAGTGTTTGAATAACTCTCCCAGGAATTACATGGGTCTTTTCTGTCTATTGTAGCCACTCAGACTTTTTTCCCCTTACTTTTAGGTTTTAGTCTTTTTTGTGAAAAAATGGAAGATTTAAGTAATTCTTTAAGAAAACTATTTGCTAAACCCCTTCATGGCAGGGATCTAATGCCCTATATTCAGTACATAGTAGACATTCAAAAAAGATGTATGTGTTAATAAGATACTGTACCTTTGCTCTATACTATAATTCACAGACTAGAAGAGAGTTCACTGTAAAGAAGACCTCTGCAGATGCAAGTGAATATTATGAATACTACATTGAAGAGTTGAAGAAACAAGGATTTCTGCTCAGAGAACATTTCACACTTGAAGCAACCCAGTTAGCATCTGAAAAATTGCAAGCAGTAAGATTGATACGTGCTTTTTATGTTATTGGTTGAAATTTTTTCCTTGCAGAGATGGGGATCAAACCTGACCCCTTGCTCATGCTAAGCAAGCACTCTACCACTGACCTACATTGCCATCCCTATTGAATATTTTTAATGGAAATGTTTTCTTTGTTACAAATAAAATTGATAGGAGAGAAGATAAGGAGTTAAAGAAAGGAAAGATAAACTCACGGAGGGCATAGATGTAGAATGTGGGATGAGTTTTAGGAAAGCCATGAAACTGATTCCTTATTTCAGTAATGACCCCTTAAAAGATTTCATTATGGGCCAGGGATGTAGCTCAGTGGTTCCGCTGCCTGCCTCACAAGCGCAAGGTCCTGAGTTCGATCCCTTGGTACCAAAAAACAAAAAAAAGATTTCATTATACTCTAGGCCAAGTTGAGGGTCCTTAACTCTGACCACATGTGTTTAATGCCATTGATAGGCCTAATTCTTACAGGATGAAGGGAAAGACAAGAGAAAATAAAATTGAAGAAGAGAGGTGGCGGTGGGGACAGAATCAGAGAAGAATAGAGGGAGAGCCAGCCTGTAGAGGAAGCCTGGTGTGTTATGGTTACCTGGTGTCTTAGTCCATTTTGTATCGCTATCACAAAATATATGAACCTGGGCACTTAACAGGTAAAGAAGTTTATTTGGCTCACAACTGGCTCACAATTCTGGTGGCTGGGAGGTCCAAACAGCATGGCACCAGCATCCTGGCAGGGTAGGGTGGGTGGAGTGTTGGCTGCTGCACACCATGGTGGAGAAGTGGAAAGGGAAGCAATGCTTCTTCCCTGAGAAAAGCCCTAATCCCTTCTGAGGGCAAGGCAGTACCCTGTGATCCAACCACCTCCTACCAGGCCTCACCTCTTCTGTTCTATCACCTGAGCACTGCCATGCTGGGTACCAGGCTCCGAGCACAGAACCTATGGGGGACACACTCAAGACGTGCCCAAGCTCTTGGGTGAGGATGGCTCTGCTATGTTGTGATTCATTCTTGTTTTTTGAGACATGGTCTCCCTATGTAGTTCAGACTGGCTTTGACCTCACTATGTAGCACAGGCTAGCGTAGAACTTGTGGCAATCCTCCTGCCTCAGCCTTCCGAGTACTGGGATTACAGGCATACACTACCATGCCCAGCTCCCTGTCAGTTTTAAAGAAAGTCACTTGTGATGTTTTTTGTGGTGATTCTTTGTTATTCCCTTGTCACAGTTGCTTTTGGAGGAGGTCATAAACTCAAGCACTCTGAGCCAAGAGGTGAGCAGTTTGGTGGAAATGATTTGGGCAGAAGCTCAAGGCCACCTGGAGCACATACTTCTCAAGCCTATGAACAAGATTAGCCTCAATGATGTGAGTCCTGTGTGTCCTTGATACAGAATGTGACAAACCCGCTTCCTGGTTTATTCGTTTAAATAATTTTCTGCTGGTTGGATTGCCCTAGAATTCATTCCTTATTCTTTCCTCGTACCTTGAAGAAAGGAGACACTTAAGAGAACTAGGGGAAGAAAAAGTCAGGAAACTATACATCCCTGCCTGTACAATGTCAGGCTGTTGTTGCTGGCTAATCAGCAACCCTAAGCCTCTGGGCCATAGTTTGTATCAAGCCCAAGGGACAGGGACAGCCTTGGCCTCCAGTTTAAGATACCCAGTCTCTGACCTTTTTCACAGTAACTCCTTCACCATTTGATGGTCTTAGGAAATGCAAGCACACTTTTAGCCCTCCAGAAAATGCTAGGCTCTTTCTGATTATATAGTTGAATAGTCGCACTTGAAAGATGATATCCCCAATGGCACAACTTATGCAACTGCCTTATAATGAAGATAATACAGGCAATTTTCTCTTACGGAATTAAATCAACTTATTTTAGGGAGAAAATGGTTTCCTGGTGTCAGGTCCACAAAACATTTGTGTAGTTAGGAACATGATCTGGTGGGTTTGTTCCTGGTTTGATGCTGATGTCTTCCTACATTTCTCATATGAAAAGCAAATGTCCCACAGTTGCATTAATTTTTCTCTGTTGTATGAATATGTATGTGTAAATGTGGACACATGTATCAAAATACATGGCTCTGGTTCTTTCCTCTGGTTAAGTTGAGGCCAGTTTTGGAAGAGTCCTCAAGGTATCATTGTCACAGCTGACCTGTCTCTAGTAAAGATCATCGTTTGCCTGTGGAAGCTAGCTTTCCATCACTGTAATGAAGTACCTAAGAGAATCATCCTAGAAAGAGAAGAGGTTTCTTCTGGTCCCATTTATATGAGGCCCGTGAGGCAACATATCGTAGCAGGGGCATATGGCAGAGCAAAACTGCTTACCTCCTGGCCAGGAAGAAAAACAGAAAGAGGAAGGGCTAGGCCCCTGCGGTCCCCTTCAAGGGCACCAATAGTGACCTAAAGACCTAATACCTAGTGTTCTAGGTTACGCCTATTAAAGGGTGTACCACATCCCCAAAACCCAGCTTTAACACCAGGACCTTCAGGGACATCTAAAAGACAGACTAGCAGCAGCTATCCAGTGGAAAACTGATAGCTACAATGTATCCAACAAGTACTTTAGATAATTTTGCATATGCCACTTCAGTTCTGTGGTTTTTAAGATTTAATTTTGGGCTGGGGATTTAGCTCAGTGGTTTCACCACCTGCTGTGCAAGCCCAAGAACCCGAGTTCAATCTTTGGTACCAAAAAAAAAAAAAAAAGATTTAATTTTAATAAGTACATATATGCCTTTCTATTTATAGGTGAGCAAGGCAGAGGGGATTCTTCTTCTGGTAAAGACAGCACTGAAAAATGGAGAAACAACAGAACAATTGCAAAAGATGATGACTGAGTTCTACAGATTAATACCTCACAAGCAAGCAGCAACCAAAGATATTAACCTGAGACTGTTAGCCAAGAAAGAAGACCTCTGCCAGGTAAACCTCAGTAATAAAGAATTCGGTTTCCAGTTGGGGGGGCACATTCTTAAAACTATGATGAATAAGGATAACACTGAATCAACTGTTTTCTCTAGCATTGTGCTCAAAAATAAGTTGTTGATCCTTTCATTCTGTAGTGCTGTGGGTCCTTCCAGAAGTTATCTAAACCATATTCCCAAATATGAATGCTTTTGCATAGTGATACAAATGCAGAATCTTTAATTTATTTATTTATTTATTTATTTATTTTTGGTACTGGGGATCGAACTCAGGACCTTGGGCTTTTGAGGCAGTCATGGTGCCACTGAGCCAAATCCCCAGCCCAGAAATCTTTTTTTAAAATAATGTGTGATAAAAATAATTTTCCAGGTTCTGTGATAAATTAAGATTTTTTTCTGCAGGAGAAATAGTAAACACTTAGAGGGGGTTGTGTTTTTTTTTTTGTTTTGTCTTTGTTTTAGCAATGTAGACTCACACATGCTAGACAATTGATCTACCCCCTGAGCTGCATCTCCAGCCCCTATCATAAAATTTTTAGCAAATAGTACATTCTAAAATAATAATAATAAAAAAATATGTATAGTAAATATATAAACCAGTACCACAGGGTTTTTTGAGGCAGGGTCTCCCTTTGTAGTTCAGGCTGCCCTTGAACTCACTATGTAGCCCAGGCTGGCCTTGAACTCACAACGACCCTCCTGCCTCAGCTTCCCAAGTGCTGGGATTACAGGCATGTGCCACCATGCCCAGCAGTTGCTTATTACTATTATCAAGTATCATGTCCTGTTCAAAACTGCATTGCTATTATTTTATGAGTACATATTAATGGTACAAATTAGTGGGGTTCACTGTGCTATTTCCATGCATACATGCGGTACGTTGATTATGTCCATCTGCCCGTCTGCCTAAACCTCCTCACCAGCACCCTTCCCAAGCCCGAAAAGTCCCTTTTAATTTTTTTCTGTCCTCCCTCCCCTGTACCCTTCCCCATCTCGTAGTCGCCTAGTTAGAATAGTTATCATCAAAAAAACAAATAAATGCTGGTGAGGATATAGACTAATGGGAACTCATACATTCTTGGTGGGAAAGTAATTAGTAAGCTAATATGGAAAATAATATGGAGATTTCTTTAAAAATGAAAAATAGAGCCAGATGTGGTGTTGTACACTTGTAATCCCAGATACTTTGGAGGCTGTGGCAGGAGGGTGGCACATTTGAGGATGGCACCTTGGACAATTCAGAGACCCCAAACTAGAGCACTTGCCTAGCACACACAGGTCTTGTGTTCAACCCTCAGCACCACACAAAAGAAAAGAAAAATACAAATATCATGTGACCTAATAATTCCATGTTCAGAAAAGGTGAAATATTTATAGCAAAGATAGTTTCACCTCTGTATTTATTGCAGTGATCTTCATAATAGCCAAATGTGTTATTCTTTTTTTTTTTGGTACTAGGGATCGAACTCAAGACCTTGCGCTTTCGAGGCAGGCAGCAGCACAACTAAGCTAAATCCCCGGCCCAAAATGTGTTATTCTTTTGTACTCCTGGCCTTGTACTAGGCATGTTTATGGCAGCATACCCACACATATGTGAGCAACTTACTGCCCTGTGAATGTTATAATGACAACTGTGACCCATTAGGTGATAGACATTTTTAGCTTCATTATGGTCTTCTGGGACCACTGTCATAGATGTGGTCAACCATTAACTTAACCAAAACATTATGTAGTGCGTAGCTGCACAGTGCCTGGAATACAGAAAACACTTTATGACTTTATTTATTTATTTATTTATGTATTTTTTGGTACCGGGGATCGAACTCAGGTCCTTGCACTTGCACAGCAGGCAGTGAAACCACTGAGCTAAATCCTCGGGCTTATGACTTTTTTTTATATTTAACATTTTTATTTTACACTGCAAAAATTAAAAACAAGCAACCAACCAGAAAACATGAAGTAAGGTCATCAAATGATGTAAAGTCATCCTTTCCAGGAACAGAAGGTAGACCAGAGCAGGTTTTCCTTAAAACCACATATATTTTGGGCCAGGGATTTAGCTCAGTGGTTCTACTACTTGCCTCGCAAGCGCAAGGTCCCGAGTTCAATCCCTGGTACCAAAACCAAAACAAAACACATATATCCTTCGGGCTGGGGATTTAGCTCAGTGGTTTCACTGCCTGCTGCACAAGCGCAAGGACCTAAGTTCATCCCCGGTACCAAAAAACCCCCCAAAAAAACCAAACAAACAAAAAAACCCACATATATCCTTCTTCACTGCTGCTTGTACTCTGCTAGGTTTTGATCCTTCTTTGGTCATAGTCTGGATCATTTTCCTCATCTCCTCTTTTCCCTTCCTCATCCACTTCTTCACCTTCTTCATAATCTTCATTATTGTCTTAGGTACTTTTCTTGTCGCTGAGGCAAAATACCCAACACCCAGAGTTAAAAGGGGAAAGGTTGGGCTGGGGATTTAGCTCATCAGCATAGTGCCTGCCTGGTGAGCATGAGGTCCTGAGTTTGATCCCCGGTACGAAAAAAAAGGGGAAAGGTTTATTTAGCTCACACATTGTACAGGCTTTGTACTTGTTCATAATCAGCTGGCTCCAAGGCAGGGTGGCACATGGCAGAGGGGCAACAGTTCATGGTGGACTAAAGATAGAAAAGCAACAAGGGAACCTTAACAGCGTCTTTCTGCTCCTTTTACCTTATGCAGACTGGGGATTAAGGCAGTACCAAACCAGTCAGAGGACTGGATAAGTAATCACATGCCCTTAATCCCGGGATCACTCCCTCTTAGATTCATCTACCTCTGAAAAAGCCACCTGTGACTGCATGGGACCTTGGGGGGACATCTATACCCAAATCATGACAGTCATCATCTACCATAGATTCTCCAGTAAGGTTATAGGCTTACGTAAAAAATGACCAATTTCAAAGCTCACAGCAGGGATAGCTTTAGCAGCAGCATCCAGATCTCCACTCAGGAACTTCAGGAGGAGCAAAAAAATTAAAGGATCCTTGGAAACTGTTTTGGTCAGAGTACAAACTGTCCCATGTTCCTTTATGTTTCTGCTTCTTTTTAATGATTTTTGAAGTGACATTCTTTCCTTTTTTTCCAATTTGTTTGGCGCCCTGTACAGCCCATAATTCCTAGTCCATCAAATGAAAAGGGATCAGAATCATCTGGTTCAGATCTCATCCTATATGTCTTTGTCAACACTTCATTTGTGAAATATTCGTTGGGTTCAAAGTGAAATTCTAAGATAAAACTCATAGGATAGCCAGCATCTGAGAACGTCCGATAATGTCCTTCATATACTTCAGAATAGGTTCATCATGTTCCTGAACCATGTCACTGAGCAAGTCAACATTTTTTTAAGCTTAAAATTTACTTTATTATAAAAGGAAATATGTTTACTATATAATTATTATAGACAATAATTATTCAGAAAGGCTCAAATGGATGAGTATGAAAATATACCTCACTGACATATACGTACTTATAAAAACATATTACCTTTGCCATGTGAAAATTTGGTGTTCAGTTCTCTAGATTTCTTTATTAGGGCTTTTTTCTGAGCATCATCAAATTGATTAACCTTGAAATCCTTATCACAGTCAAATGGTATTCTCTCTTGGGGCTTATTTTTATCTTCAGTGGCCTTATTCTTTAATTTTTCATGATGAATGTCCATATCTCTTCCTGAAAATATATATTCCTCATCCTTCTTATTGAATGACTTCTTTGTTTCTTGTGTTTCCTTAGCCTTCCTTTCCCGGTCAGCTGGAGTATCTGTCCAGACGGATCAATCTTCGGATTTGTCATCAGCTCTTCTTTTAAAGGTTCTTGGCCCAAGACCAAAGTCTTTCATTTCTGGAGGAAGCTCAGTCATCCATGATTCTCTTGTAATTGGTTTAGATGAATCATCATCTCCTTTAGTTAGTTTGTCTTTCGTTCTTTGGGCCCTTTTTTCAAACTCCGTCATTACACTATAGTTAACGGGTCCCTTTGCAGGCATTGGTCCAACAATATCCTCATCTTCACTGTTATGTTTCCTGAGAGTTGCAGTATGATGATTCTTGTCCTGGATCATCTCTGCCTTTGTCACTTTTCTGTGTAGATTTAATGAAACCAGGGGGCAATGCAGGACCTATTATAGGCCTTGGAGAAGAATCATCCTGATTTTTAAATCCAGGAGGAAGGGCAGGTCCAAAAAGCCTATCATCATCATCATCATCCTGATTTCTCTTCTGCTTTCTTTTT